ATCGGTGCCGAGGATCGAACCCTGGTTGCTCGCGTACTATGAAATTTACAGCGAGCGCTTAGTCTCTAAGCGACCACGCCTCTGCGTCCTTCTTAATTTAAAAACAAAATGAAAAGAAATGTCAGAATAAATTTACAACCGAAGTAAAACCTCTCTTAAAACGAATATCAGCGTTCATTTTATGGCAAACGTACGACACGCGCATCTTTACGTACCCGTATTTTATCTATTTTATTTCGTACTCAATCTTAATGGTCTTTAAGAGAGTTTAATCAAACTACAGTTTGTTAAATGTGACTGTGATTTTTCTATGTTTACGTAAATATTTTTTCCAATTTAAAAAAAATAGAGGTTTAATTCGACTGCGTTTTTAAGTAAGTATTAAAGAATACCTGTGTCAGGAGGCACCGCTCTTCCTAATGATAATAAATATTGAGATAAGCCGAGCAAGATTACCTATGATCTAATTTAGGTGTGTGTGTGGGTGTGTCTATATTCTGTATATTCTAATAAACAAAAATGAAAGAAATATAAGAATATATATATAATGGATATACTATTTAATTCCGTAACGTAGAATGTTTTTTGTGCTGTGATAATTTAACTTTTTAAGATGATCGGTAAGTATTTTTTTGTATTCACGATAATTAAGCCGGTAAAAGTTTAATTTTATTCTTTAAATAACTGTATATATACATATCTTGATTGGGCACTGTAATGTCTCTCAGTAAATTTAGATTTTACGTAAATTTGTTTAATGACGTTATGATACCCTCGTATAAATGTTGTTTTGGATCATATGGCGAGTTATTATGTGTTTTTAAAATTATCTGTAAGATATATAGTTGCTTAACCATAAGAACGTGTCATATATTATACAGTTGTTCGGTATTAAATCTAATAGGCTTAAAATACATAACTTCAAGAAGGTATCGGTGTCCTCTTTCTATGTTTAGTAAGTCAGTCTTTGGCGCTCCTTCACATACCACATGCTATTACAACCTGAGATAAAACCTATAAATTATAAAATATGATAGATTTTTTACAACTATCAGAGTAATAACTACATATTGCATTTTACTCACAAGTTAAAGCGGGATACTCTTTTTAACTAGGGGAAAATCAGCACCAGAATCAAAGCAACATAAAAACTGCTCAAAAAATTGAATGATCACCCCTGTGATAGGTTTCACACTACATACGTCAACTCGTTTTATTACGCTGGATGTAGTGGCAGGTTGTGTGCTGCCGCTTGCAACTAGTCACGTTTTCGAGCATTGTGATGCCAATTTACCCGCAGCCACACACGGAGGACGGCACACATGTCACGGAGGGCTTCATCATAGCCAGGATCGTGTTGAAGCGATTGGAAGTCAGAGTTGTTTGCTGTTTGTCATGCGAATGGCTGAAAGATTCAAAATATCTGTGGCCTAGTTTTACACAAGCGTAAGATTTTGTAGAAGCAACACTTAACCTAGGACGTTTGTTATCTTGCATATTATTTGCATCAGTCTTTATATTATCTTGATGATTTCGCTTAAGATATGAAAATGCCATATTCACGTTGCATTTTGCGGTGGGTAATTATTTGTTCCGAAAAAATGTTTCGTTGCAACCGTGGTTCGATTTGCCTCATGTGAGTGAGTATTACAGATACCACCGGTTCTTTCTTGCCTTATTTACCCCATCGCGACGACAGTAAATTTGTATTCTGTCTGAACTGTGTCGCATACTGGAGTGGAGAAGATTTAGGGTAGCTCCTACTCCACCACTCACTACTCCCCTGTGTAGGAACGGACTCCCCAGACGTGGTAGAGCCATGCTGCAGCTATATTAGTAGTATAGTTGTAGCACGAATGGGTCGGCTCGACCGGGGAAGGACCACGCTCTCACAGAATACCAGCGTCAAATAGCATCTTCATGCTGCTGTGTTTCGTATGGTGAGTGTAGAGAACCGGAGACCCTTTTTACTGGAAAAGAGGCATTCTATCTTAGTCCTCACGGGTGACAACGCAACTGCATTTTGCTTCGCAAACGAGGATAAATGTAGATGTCTATGGGCCACAGCAACCACTTACCATCAGGTGGACTGTGTGCTCGTTTGTCACCCTATATTATAAAAAAAAATCGATTTGCATTTGCAACATTCACCTTTTTACGGTTTACCAGTAAACATTTTTAAAATCATCGCTGTGCATGTATTCTAAAGTATTAAAAGGAGAGAGGAAAATATCTTTAAATTCTACCCACTTCATTTGAGGAAAAGCTATTTTGGACAACCACGTTGCATCTGGGCCTTATTAAGTATAAGAATAAGTTTATTTCACTATATATCACGATCTGAAAAGCAGATATCTGCAGTTGCTAGCCAGGCTCCGACATCAGTGTCTGCATTTTCAGGATGGAATAAAGGCAATCTATTATTCTTGTACTCGGTAGCTGGCGAATTACATAGCGCCTCCACAAGTAGTCGCATGTTATTTTGCTACGCTTCAACTAAAGCGCGTAAACCGTCGTTCACCTCAATCGATCTATCTACGTTTTGTGCCTGCAACGATCCCACTTCTGACGTCGGAGAAACACAATTCTCCTCAACATCGTCATCAGTGGTCACGAGTCTAGTGGGCATCATCAGGGTTGAATGTGAGCACAAAACTTAAATTAAAATTTAACAATTTTGAACGTCACTAAAAGAATTATTACTTTGCAATTACTAAATTTAAATTTAAAACGTTAATAAAATTTAATAAAATCCGAGCAGCAAGTGTGCTACACCGATCTAACGATTTCGCTGAATTATACCCCAAAAAAGAATGATCATCCATCTCGATCCACAAACACTAAATACTTGATCGTGCAGCGACCGTCAAAATGGCGTCTCGACCCCGCTCGAGGCCTATCCTCTACTCCGATTGGTCGTTATATGTATGTAGTACAATATAATAACTTTAATGAGATAAAATAAGATTGTACTCAATGACAAAATCCAAATAATCAAATAAAATAAAATAAAGATTTAAAAGAGTATTTTAGAGAACAATTGATATCTCGCGATGAAATCAACAATCAACTTGATTCCGACATAGGTATATATAGTTTGTTTAATTGAAATGTGTGCGGGACAAGTGAAAAACAAATGGTGATAGGATAATTACATAAATAAAACAAACATTTTTATATTAATAAATAGTTTAGAGTTTATACTTAAATAGGATATAAGCGTTTATGTTATATTTAATTGAATAAAGATTATAGAGTTACACATAAAATAGGATATAAGCATTTTGTGTTATGATAAGAAAATAATAGTTTAGTGTTTATATTTGTATAATAGAATTAGTTTTAATGTAAACAATGACTCAGTTAGGTGGTCACTTTGTATAGTAGAACTAGCTTAAGCTAAACAATGTAACGTGACTCAGCAAGGTGGTCACTTAACATCGTCACTTGCTCTGTCACGCCTCGCGCTGATTGGTCGACGCCGTTTGTACGATACGTACACCGTATCTATTGACCCAGCCGAGGACCACCTCGGCTGGGTCAATAGATACGGTAAAAGAGGGGCGATTTTCGTCGTTCGACACAGTCGGCGGCCAGCTACCTCAAGAAAAACGTCGAATATAGAAGAAAGAAAATATCTCAGCGGTTTTATTCTCCACCAACCTAGCACACAATTGTGCCTGTAGGGCATTTAATGGTCCTTCGCCAGCCGAATATTGTGGGGAATAATTACCTGAAGACTTCAAATAGTGCTACAACGAGTTAAGAAGACCTCTCGGAAATCGTTTTCAAGACTCAAGCTTTTCGAAGAAAAAAGTCATCTGACAGCATGGTCGTTACGCGCTCTGAGGGAAAGGGCAGCAAGCCGTCGTCGTCCGAGGCTACCACCTCGGCGACCCGTACCACCAGTGCGGAAGCCAGTACGGAATCGACAGCTACTGGGACGACCGCCACGGAGACTTCGGAGTATACAAACACCTCCGCGGCAACTGATCCATCCAACGTGACTTCCGCCACTTCGTCCGCCGCCACCTCAGCCTAAGCCGCAACCGCCGCCCCCGCCGCGCACCCCGCCAGCGCCGTCGCTCCTTCCGTAACACCATGCGCGGTGACGACGCTAACTGCGGGTGCGAAGGCCAAACAGCTGATGAAGCCGCCCGCTACTGTCACCAGAGCAACTCGCCGAGAAACAGAAACTGCTACAGTGAAGCGAGCCATAAGAAGCACCGCCGGTCCATCGAAGCAAACCGGACTACAGGAACCCCTCCCGCCCACCAAGAAGGGAGGAGGAGGGGGATCTACATGCAGTAGAACGAAGCAGCTCAAGCTTAAGAAGCTTAAGCAAGCGAAAGAAGATTTGCTACGCCTTCAAGTGGGATTAGCCGCAGCATGCCTTGCTGCCTTGGAAAGGGAAGACTCAGAAGAAGAGGAAGAAGAAGATGACGCCTCCCTCTACTCGAGATCAGAAGTCAATGCAAGAGTGGACGACTGGTTGGAGAATCAAGTGAATCGTCCGCCCACGCAGAAGAACCAAGGCAGGAAAAGCATGAAGAAACACATCAGTCACCGGCGGAAGGTCAAACTGACGTAGCCTTCCTGGCTGAAGCCATCACTCAGGCTGTCAGCGCCACCCAACGACCTAAGTTCGTCGAGTTACCATTCTTCAGTGGATCTCATCAGGAATGGCTACACTTTCGCGCCGCCTACTACGAGACAGAAGCGACATTCAGCGCAGTTGAAAATACGAATCGACTCAGAAGAAACTTGAAAGGGAAAGCCAAGGAAACAGTAGAATGCCTACTTATGACCAACGCACACCCGGCTGATGTAATGAAGAATTTGGAGTCAAGATTTGGAAGACCAAATTCAATAGCCATGCTGGAGTGGAGACGCTTAGAGGTCTGCCGCGCCTTACTGAGTCACCAAGAGACATATGCATATTCGCCACCAAGGTCTCCAACGTAGTGGCGACACTGAAGACTTTGGGTTGTTTTAACTACATGTACAATCCTGAACTCGCGAAGACAATAGTGGACAAACTGACGCCAACTCTGCGTTATAGATACTACGACTTCTCAGCCATGCAGCCGCGTGAAGACCCTTGTTTCATCAAGATAGAGAAGTTCTTCAAAAGCGAAGCAGAATTGTGTGGACCCTATGTGCTGTCCGAAGAGATGACACCGCCTCCTACAGCCGCACCACAAAGGAAGATTCAAAAGATCAACAACGTGACTGAGAAGACATACATACCAAGGTGCGTCGTATGTGAAGATACGGGGCACACCAACGCCACAGAATGTGAACAGTTCAAGAAGTTAGATGCAAATGCAAGATGGGACATGGCCAAAAAGTCCAAGCACCTCTGCTTCAGGAGTCTTCACTATAGGAACAAGACACACCACTGCCGACCCAAGTCATGTAATGTTAACAGCTGCAAGTACTCCCACCACAAAATGCTGCACTACGAAAAGAAGTCAGAAGATACAGAAGCAAAAGAAAATCAAGGGGCAACAGAGGTCATCAACTCAACTTGGACCGTCAAGAAGCAATCGTATTTAAAAATCCTACCGATCCAGGTCAAATATTGGCACGGCCAGTATATAAGGCATCACCAGTGCTGTCGTCCGCATAGCAATGGATGCTACCAGTTAGGAACATATCATTGATATGCAGAAGAAACAGCGTTGTTGATAGCACGCAGCCTTGTGGAACACCAGCGTTGTTAGGCTTGAAATCAGAGTATTCACCGTCTACTACGACCTTAATGCTCCGATCAGCAAGGAAACTGGTGATCCATTTGCACAATTTCTCGGAAAGCCCATAGGAAGGAAAGGCTTCGAAAGAAGCGCTTTGTGCCAGACCCGATCGAAGGCCTTTGCTATGTCCAAACTAACGGCCAATGCCTCCCCCTTGGACTCTACTGCCTCCGCCCATCTATGAGTCAGATAGACTAGAAGATCACCAGCTGATTGACCCCGACGAAAACCGTACTGGCTATCACTAATCAGCTGGTGATCCTCAAGGTACCTCATGAGCTGGCAGTTTATAATGGATTCCATTATTTTGGAGAACAAGGAGGTGATGGCAATAGGCCTGTAGCTGGACAGGTCTGAACGGTCGCAGTTTTTAGGGATCGGGTGGACCAAAGCTGTCTTCCATGAATTTGGAACTATGCCTTGGGAGTAGAAGTACCGGAAAAGACGCGTTAAAACCGGTGCCAACTCCGGAGCACACGTCTTCAGCACAATGGGAGGGACTACATCGGGCCCACTCGACTTGCTGATGTCCAGGGAGAAGAGTGCTTTGCGAACCGAGCGCTGTGTAAACCGCACATCCGGCATGGAGCACTCACATCGCGGTATGGTCAGCGGTGTGTTCCCCCCGTCATCTAGAGTCGAGTTGGACGCAAAGAGGAGCTCAACAGATCGGCTTTCTCCTTTGCGGCATTGTTTGCTCTTTTGTGCTATCATGCGTCACACCCGTGTTAATATGATTTAGGATTTCCCCTTGTACCTTTACCTTGTTTAAATAGCACGTACAAATTTGCACCTAATCTCAAATTATGATTTTCCTTTAGTTATACATTCCTATAATATAAGAACCGCGATAGCTCAGGGATGGTAGCTAAACGCTCGGTGTAAATTTAACAACGCGATCAACCCGAATTCGATCACCGCTGGCACCAATGGAATTTTTAATTGCAATTTTAATTCCTGATCTGCTACGTAACGTTGAATACCAGCGTCAAATAACAGTTTTACACTGCTGTGTTTCGTATGGCGAGTGTAGAGAACCGGAGACCCTTTTTACTGGAAAAGAGGCATTCCATCTTAGTCCTCACGGGTGACAACGCATCTGCGTTTTGATTCGCAAACGAAGATAAATGTAGATGTCTATGGGCCACAGCAACCACTTACCATCAGGTGGACTGTGTGCTCGTTTATCACTCGATCCTATAAAAAAAACGTGCTGGGCGGTGAAGGAATACATCGTGAGGAAACCTGCATGTTTCAGAAATAAAAATAAAAATATTTCGACAACATGTGAAGTTTATCAACATGCATTCGGGCAGTGCAGTGGTCATTTCCATGCCCTAAAAAACCGTCTCAAAAATGAGAGGAGGTCTGTACCCAGCAGTGTAACGTATATAGGCTGTAACTTTATTTTTAACATTATACATTCCTATTCATGACTTTGTACGAAATACTACATTGAGGCATTCTGTGCGAATAACCTTTTTTTAATATTATAAGCAAGTGCTACCTCACCTGATGGTAAGTGGTGATACAGCCGACGATGGTAAAGAGCACTGACTTAGCTTAATAAAAGTCTTTTCACTCTTGCCTTGATGTCAACCATATTATAACCGATTGGAAAGACAGATGCCGGTAAGCTATTCCATTCCTTTGCTATCAAAGTTAAAGTTTGGCGAGTTTAGAATAAAGTAACACCAATGTATCATAAACTCATGAATAAATAAATTAAAAAATATACACATCATTCAAAATGACGAAGCAAACCGTTTGGTTCGAATAAAAGGTAATATACAAAATTTGAACTGGTCAAGTTTTAAAATCTTTATTAAACTAAGTTTTCATAAAAAGGTTTATTATAATATTAAGGAATAATAACCCCTGGGAATGAGGTAATCGCTACCAAGCTATTTCTAATTAGTTTTGTGTTGTTAATTGTGTAACGTACATGATTGTAAGCTGTTATTTTTATTTATTTAAAAAAAGTCCCGCTGGGTTTCTTGCTGGTTCTTCCCAGGACAGAGGTTTTTCAAACCAGTGCAGTGGTAATAAAACAAAAGAGTGATTATCAATAAGTATTAATTAAAATCGATATTGAATAAAAAGTTTCTGTTTCTGATTCCTATATCTCGTACTTTAAACTTTAAACGAGCAATTTAAAATCCATGAATTTTTCTGCCAACAGGGTGGTACCACTTAGGAATGAGGGGAAATATTTCACAGATTTCATAGCATGAGCATATTATTAGACAATGTAAAGATTGATATTGATAATATGCATACAGTAGAACCCTTAAATGACGCCACTGTATGACCACCTTCGTAACGAATAAGTTTACCATAGTCGCAACTAGCGACATCTTGTGAGCTTAAAATTATTATCCCTATATAAGTACGTTTACAAAGACGTGGCGACGTAGGAAAATCTATTACCTTATTATGTCACGTAGGTGTCGTAAGATGCGGCTATAGGAAATGTCAGCAAAATATAATGGCATCCGAAAAATGGCGGTATAACCTTCTTGTTTACGCCAGACGTAAAAAACCCAGACCGGCGACGGGCAGCAGCATCAAAGGTGCTATGTCTAGTATTACGATCGTCACTTCTAAGCGTGGCGAATAAGACGCATCCCCTCTTTAAAGTGAGAGGAAAGAACCATGTCAAGAAAGAATATAGTAAATCTTCTTTATTACAAGGAGGTTATCTCGGTTGTTACCACTTTGACTCAACTTTTCGATGTCGGTAATGATTATTTACAATCCTTAGTATTGCAGTCAAACATCATCATCATCGACCATCACAAGTTCTGTGATCTCTTAACATGAGCTCTCCCTTAAGAAACTCCGCAAAATATGTCACAGTCCTGAGCCATTTACATCCATTGCTATCCTGCATTTCTCACTAGATCGTCACTCCATCTAGTGAGGAACCATCCTACACTTCTCTTACACGTACGCGGCAGCGACTCGAGTATCTTTTGACTCCGATTCTTACGGTTTTCGGTTCTTCGAGCTATAAGGCACTAATGTTATGATCTGAAGGGTAAAAAGAGAAAATATAATTACAAGCTGAGAGTCATTCCATCTTAGTCCTAGGAAATTGACCACGCAACTGTAGACTTCTTTGTTTGAATTTAGAGACTAGAGCGAGTATTAGTTGTGAAGAGTCTATAGATTGTAGTAGTCTTTTATCATCAGGGGTAGACTGTGAATTCTTTTATTGAACTTCTTTAATATGTAAGAGAGCGCCTGGGTGCGGCGTGCGCTGCTGTTTTCCGTTCTGAATGGTATAGAGAGTCACTATAATAATAGAATATGAGGCATTCCATCTTATTTTTCAGGTATAAAAACGCATCACCTTATAGCCAGCCTTCTTTGTTTGAAATGAAGTGGACTATAAGTACATTTATCATCCAGATATGTAAAAACATTGGTACATTACACTTTGTACCTCTTACTATAAATAAATTATATAAATTACTTGCCAATTATGCTTAAGCAGAATTTATAGGCCATTATCCATTACTCCGTACACAATGAAGCCTATAGGTAATGGTGAAGAAAACCTGTCTATATAATAATGATAAATGCTAAAAATGCGGTGCCATAAATATAAATCAAATTTAAACTATCCTTTAAAGTATTTATACAGTTAAAGATGATAAACGAGTACACTGTCCGCCTGATGGTAGCAGCGGCCAAGGTGCTAGGTTTTATTTATTTCAAGAAGACTATCTCGGTTGTTACCACTTTGAAACTATATATCGTGCAGTAAATCGTCATCATCTGCGGTATTTCAGTCCATTATAAGTCCTCTGAACCATCAAACGTCTTCTGTCCGCTGAACTTGAGATCTTCCTCAGGAAACGCTGCAAAAAACGTATAGTCCTGATCTATCTGCAATCATCGACCTTCTGTATCACTCAGCAGGTCGTCACTCTATTTCATGAGACTGTCACTCAAAAGCCTTTCATCCTCATTTGTTGTCGGTTCTTCTAGCTAAAAACGTCATATTTCCATTGCTACTTCAGCTTAGTAATCCGTTGGGTTATTTTTAATTATGAAGTTAATCAAGCAGAGAAATATCGAACATAACTCTCTCCCTAGCTCCCTGAGCGACCTTGAATATCTTTTTACGGCCAGCAGTAAAGGACCCATATTCAGATCCATATGTTATCACTGTCACCACGCACTGGTTCTGCACTATTGTTTTCATGTTTTGTGGTATACGGAACGAGAACTTGTCGCAATCTCGTGAACGCTGGACAACCAAGTTGGAACTGTCAGGTGAACACACGGTCAAAATTGGACTAGACACATTCGTCAGCAACTTCGAGCTTTGTGCTCCCAACAATTACCACCATAGGTATAAAATGGACGTCACATATAATCTTTGTCTTACTCACGTACCGTTATAGCAATAAAAGTAAAGTAAACTTACAGCCTATATACGTCCTACTACAGTCTTTCCCTCATTTCTGAGAGGGTTTTAGGGCAAGGAAGTGTCTGCCGCGCTGCCCCAATGCGTGTTGGGTTTCGAAATCGAAGATCTTTTTTTTATTTCTCAGACATGCAGGTTTCCTCATGATGTTTTCCTTCACCTCCGAGCACGTGGTAATTCAGCAGCGCCAGCTCATAGAGCAAAGAGCACACAAGACTGGCTGGCGTCGCGTGAAATCGACTTCATCCGGCACGAAGACTGGCCCTCCTCCAGTCCAGATTTGAATCCATTAGATTACAAGATATGGCATCTCTTGGAGGAAAAGGCGTGCTCAAAGCCTCATCCCAATTTGGAGTCACTCAAGGCATCCTTGATTAAGGCAGTCGCCGATATTGACATGGACCTCGTTCGTGCTGCGATAGACGACTGGCCGCGCAGATTGAAGGCCTGTATTCAAAATCACGGAGGTCATTTTGAATAAACTTTAGTATCATAAGAATCTATGTTTTGTTAAGTTCATTTTGGTATATAAATAATTACATAATGAATAAACTTGTTTGAATTATTTTATATTAAACATGTGACAGAATTTATGACCTTTATGACCTGACTAGGTACATATATATATATATATATATATATATATATATATAATTATTTTCTAATGTACCCAAATGTGTTAAGAAATATTGAGAGTATTCCCAGGTCTAGGATATAAGATATAAGTAATAAAATTTCCTCGCCACTTAATGTCACCACTACGTTTTTCTTTGGAAAATGCGGGTGACAATTGATGGTAAGTGGATGCTGAGGCCCATAGATGCATTTATGCTCACTTAAGATTCAAAATGCAGATGTGTTATCACCCATGAGGACTAAGATGGAGAGCCTAGTTTCCAGTAAAAATAGTTTCCCGTTCTCTAAGCTCATCACACGAAACACAGCAGCATCAAGCTGCTATTTTACGCCTGTATTCTGTGAGAGCGTGGCCCTTCTCCGGTCAAGGCAACTAATTCGTGCTACAACCATAATATAGCTGCAACGTGGCTTTACCACGTGTACAGTCTTGAAGATTAACTAATGCTTTCAATCTATAAGTATTACAAAAAGTACCTTGGGGGAATTACGTAGGCCGTTATTTTACATTTTTATTTTTAATCTTCTACATTTTAACTATTTACAAATATACGACACTAAATAAGACATTTCGTCACGTTCTTGTTGGATTATTTAAAACGTAAGAACAATCTATTTGCTTCAGATGGACGACGGTGAATATAATCACTTACGCTACGATTATACATAAATAAAATAACTAAATCGGCAACGGGTGGCAGCGCTAAATGTGCAAACCGGATGCTAAACTTCCGATTCTGTGGACGTTAATCCGCTTGGTAAGCGTGTCGATTAAGCCCAAATGTAAAAGCTTTTACAAAAATTTACTTCGCAAATATCCGCGTTATAAAATAAAATGATGTGTCTTACCTAGTATGAAGAAGCACCTCCCGCCCTCCCTCAATTGCGTGCACTAACCCCGTCACCACTAATCCCAGCACCGCTACTTCCAACACCACTACACTAGGCAAGACACACCACTGACGATAATACGACACGTGTTTCGCCTCTACACGAGGCATCCTCAGGTGATATAGACTCTACGGTGGCTAACCGCTAAGTGAGCGGCGAGCCAAAACAAGTGCCTTTTATACAAACCGATGATGCAACCGCTCTCTACCTAACGAGCGAGCGATTGCGTCATGCGATAAAACATGCGACCAATCACCGCTGGACTTACGCAGCCGTTTGTAAAATTAAAAACAAACCGCCGCGCAACGCCCACATTATTAGTGAGCAGGCTTGAAGATATTTAAGAGAGGTGAGTTAGTAACATTTGTTTGTTCATTCAGCAATGCAACGGTATTATTATTACTTTTTAATATCTCTAACTGTTCCAGCACACACAGACGCAGCCCTTTATTACACGTATGTAAGACTTTAAAGGAGTGGTCGTTGGCTAGGTTGTGTCCAGTGTCCAAAAGATGTTTGGCAAAATGGGATTTATCGGGATTGCAATTCCTGTACGCGGCTAAATGCTCTTTATAACGTGTCTCGAAATTGCGACCAGTCTGACCCACGTAAACGGCGTGGCATTCGTCACAAACAAGTTTGTAAACACCTGACTTTTGACGAATATCTAACTTATCTTTACTATTACAGATATTTCTAAGAGAATTGTTTGTTTTGAACGCCACATGAACGCCGTTTTGTCGAAGAGTATTAGCTACTTTTTCAGATATGGGGCCTAAGTAGGTCAAACTGCTCACATATCGATGAACACTTTGAGGTTGAACCGCGTACAGAGAGTTGCGAATAACATGCTTTTGTTTCTTTTTAATTAAATTGTTAATGAGATTTTTTGAAAAACCGTTAGAGACCGCTATTTGATAAATTATATTAAGTTCTTTTAAATAATTTTCTTTACTTAATGGGACAGTGAACAAACGGTTAATGTAACAATAAAAAGCGGCTACTTTATGTTGCCATGGATGACATGATGACGCGGGGATGACCGTGTCGGTGTGAGTTGGCTTTCGATAAATTTGGAAAACATGTGACGATTCTTTTCTTGTTATTGTTAAGTCAAGAAAATTAAGGGAACAATCTTGTTCCAATTCAAGTTTAAATTTAATTTTGTCATGGACTCTATTTATTTTATTGAGGAAAACATCCAGTTGTCTCCTTGTGCCAGTCCAGCAAATAATTATGTCGTCTACATATCGATAGTAATATAAGATATTTTGATTGACAACTATATGTTGTTTTTCGAAATTATCCATGAAAATGTCCGCCATAAGGGGACTTAGAGGGGACCCCATAGCTAACCCTTCTTTTTGTAGATAGAAACGGTTATTAAACCGGAAATAGTTTTGTTTCATACAGAGAGAGGTTAAGTTAAGAAGATCATTTGTTTCCCCGGGATGTAGACGACGTTTTTCAAAGAGATCTGCGAGTATACGCAAACAGTCAGGGGATGGGACATTTGTGAAAAGACTATCAACGTCTAAAGATAACAATATGGATTTAGGAGGAATACGAATATCTTTAATTTTGGAAATGAGATCTAAGCCATTTTTTAGGCTGTAAGTGGGGTTAAATCCAGATTTCTCTCGAAGGAGGAAGTTTAATTTTTTAGCAAGGAAATAAGCTGGTGCACCAATATATGAGACAACTGGACGAATAGGAACATGTTCTTTATGTATTTTTGGTAACCCATATAAAATGGGTGCTTGAGGATTCATTGGAACAAGATTGCTCCGAGACAAGTTGTGATCGGGAAAAACATATGATGACTGTTGTATACATAACTTAATATCCGAAGTAAACTTTTTGGTTGGGTCAGACTCCAATAGCTCAAAGTCATCACCTTGGATAACATCGTTAACTTTCTGGCTGTACCCACTACTCTCCATAATAACAACAGTATTGCCTTTATCGGCTTTAGTAACAATAAGGTCGTTTTCCCTTATTCTCTGCTTTAGAGACTTAAAAACAGGGAACTCAGGATTGAAATGGGAAGACGTGGGCACAGCCCGAATTTCATTAGCTACCAAACTTTTAACGATGTTATCTTTCTTCCCGATCACAACAGCCACCTCCGCGTCAACAGCCATAGTCTCTAACGATTTTTGGGAGACCGAAGGTGTTAAATTATACTTTAGGCCTTTATGTAAAAGGGACCACTCATCTGTTGGAAACTGGACATCGGAAAGATTTTTAACTCGGGGATAAAATTGGTGATATTCTGTATGTATGTCGTTATTACGATTACGGGATGAAGAGGATACAAGTCGTTGTAATTTACGGGACTGAATTTGATATTTCTCATAAACAGCCATTGAAGCAAGTTCTCTGGCTTTCCCATCCAAAATATCAAATTCAATATTATGTAATTTATATGAAAGTTCAGAGTATAATACTTTAAGGTGGATTTTTAAATTATCTCTATTGGAAAACCAACGACGACACTCCTCATTAAGCCAAATGTTCTGAGCTTTAGAAATAGCAATACTGGCCGCTCGACTATTTGTGCTGGAACGTATTTGAATATAATTGGGAATAACATGAAGTTGTTTGCACTGCTGATTGAACCAAACATTTTGGGCAGCAATACGATGGAGTTTTGTTAATTTGACATAGAGTCTTGCCTGGTCGGCCGTGCTAGCCTTTTTAATATAATTAATAGAATCAGGCGTTACTTTGCGGAAATCCATTATATAAAAGCTTTTACAAAAATTTACTTCGCAAATATCCGCGTTATAAAATAAAATGATGTGTCTTACCTAGTATGAAGAAGCACCTCCCGCCCTCCCTCAATTGCGTGCACTAACCCCGTCACCACTAATCCCAGCACCGCTACTTCCAACACCACTACACTAGGCAAGACACACCACTGACGATAATATGACACGTGTTTCGCCTCTACACGAGGCATCCTCAGGTGATATAGACTCTACGGTGGCTAACCGCTAAGTGAGCGGCGAGCCAAAACAAGTGCCTTTTATACAAACCGATGATGCAACCGCTCTCTACCTAACGAGCGAGCGATTGCGTCATGCGATAAAACATGCGACCAATCACCGCTGGACTTACGCAGCCGTTTGTAAAATTAAAAACAAACCGCCGCGCAACGCCCACATTATTAGTGAGCAGGCTTGAAGATATTTAAGAGAGGTGAGTTAGTAACATTTGTTTGTTCATTCAGCAATGCAACGGTATTATTATTACTTTTTAATATCTCTAACTGTTCCAGCACACACCGACGCAGCCCTTTATTACACGTATGTAAGACTTTAAAGGAGTGGTCGTTGGCTAGGTTGTGTCCAGTGTCCAAAAGATGTTTGGCAAAATGGGATTTATCGGGATTGCAATTCCTGTACGCGGCTAAATGCTCTTTATAACGTGTCTCGAAATTGCGACCAGTCTGACCCACGTAAACGGCGTGGCATTCGTCACAAACAAGTTTGTAAACACCAGACTTTTGACGAATATCTAACTTATCTTTACTATTACAGATATTTCTAAGAGAATTGTTTGTTTTGAACGCCACATGAACGCCGTTTTGTCGAAGAGTATTAGCTACTTTTTCAGATATGGGGCCTAAGTAGGTCAAACTGCTCACATATCGATGAACACTTTGAGGTTGAACCGCGTACAGAGAGTTGCGAATAACATGCTTTTGTTTCTTTTTAATTAAATTGTTAATGAGATTTTTTGAAAAACCGTTAGAGACCGCTATTTGATAAATTATATTAAGTTCTTTTAAATAATTTTCTTTACTTAATGGGACAGTGAACAAACGGTTAATGTAACAATAAAAAGCGGCTACTTTATGTTGCCATGGATGACATGATGACGCGGGGATGACCGTGTCGGTGTGAGTTGGCTTTCGATAAATTTGGAAAACATGTGACGATTCTTTTCTTGTTATTGTTAAGTCAAGAAAATTAAGGGAACAATCTTGTTCCAATTCAAGTTTAAATTTAATTTTGTCATGGACTCTATTTATTTTATTGAGGAAAACATCCAGTTGTCTCCTTGTGCCAGTCCAGCAAATAATTATGTCGTCTACATATCGATAGTAATATAAGATATTTTGATTGACAACTATATGTTGTTTTTCGAAATTATCCATGAAAATGTCCGCCATAAGGTTTCCAATGAATCCTACACGCTAGTTCACATTAATAGCTCGGGTCTAATTTAATCAACACGGACATCTTACCAACTGACACGTAGAAATGGCGAGGGGCGCTCATGAAAATTAATGCGGCTTCCGTACTAACGGGCGTTTGACCCAATAACCGAGGAAGAGATTATTTTCCTTGCAATTAGTTGAGCACGTGGGTTCGAGCTTAGTTATGTCCATTCTCAGAGTATAAAGACTTCAATTACTATCAGTTTTTGATTTCAAGTAGCAGCGTATTTTTTCAAAACACTTTTCGTTCTCGAAGTGAATAGTATCCTTCAGACTGGATTTCGGTCACTGCGGCCAGTCTGAAAGGAGACTAGCCATCTGCACGGGACAGAATTATAGTGCCAGAGTGTATGTGCAAGCACAGGTGCACTCTTTATTCCCTCACTTTCATATACTAATGGGACGGTAATGCTACATGACAGAAGAGATCAGGCGTAGAACTAACGGCTTTACGTGCTTCCCGAGGCGCGGGGGTGAAACACCATCATTTTCCTCACTACGGGCTACTACTGAGAATTTACTGGTTATGGAACCGAACCTAACCCTGGAAA